TGGACTTTGTGGTCTCCTTACTCCTGCTGTCCTAAAACAATAAACCTGCTTCCCTCTCTTCTAGGTCGCCATGCCTGCCCTGGGGAACCATTGGCTAAAATGGAGCTCTTCATCTTCTTCACCAGCCTCCTGCAGTGTTTCACTTTCTCCGTCCCCGAGAACCATCCCAGGCCCAGTGAAGACAGGCTCTTTGCCCTCACAGTCACTCCAACCCCTTTCCAGATCTGTGCCATCCCCAGATAATTTTTCAGAATTTCTTATGGTTGCTAGATAATATTTTCAGGATGTCTCCTGCCCAGTCTTCTATGATGGCCTAAGAATTGTAACTTGCCAGGAAAATGAAATTTGGAGAAATGAGATTTAAAACAATTCACAAAACAATATGATACATTAGTTAAACTGATGGTCAGAACATTAGTAAGTTTTGAATGAGGACAACTATTTTAGGGCATGAGGGGTGACTATTCCTCTCACATATGTTTCAGAGCATGTGAGATTATTTGCTGCTAGTTCCTGTATTTCTATTTAGGATGTCAATAAAGGAAGAATATACTCTTAAAATACGTGTATGTTTTGAAGTATACAATTCTTGCCCTTGCAATGAAATCTCCCCATTTCCTCAAATGTGTGATGCTGCTGTCAGGAAACAGTCTCAGAAGTCTTTTTTGTCCAGGAGCTAAGGAAAGTCCTGCTGCTGTCCTGGGTGCCTATTGAGGCACCTTTTCCCCTTACTCCCAGGTGTAGCATCTTCTGTCTGGGTAGCAACAACTGCCACCAACAAATCAGGAAGAATATCTCCTGCCAAAAGCATTAGTACTTCTGGCACCCTTTATTGTGTTGCCATGTATAGGTTCCCCTAGTTGCCCCGTCTCCTACTCTACACATTATAGCTAGCACAAGAATAGCTGCACTGTCGGGGAGGTGAGCTTAATTGCTTCTCCTCCCCATTACTGCTGTTTGCAAAGAGGAACCAAATTAGGCATGGTGTGTGTCCAGAGATCAGGCTTCTGGCAATCAGTATATAACAAAGTTTAACACATCAGTAAAAAGGGTAAAGGTAAAGGAGCTGCGGTGGCTCAAGTGGTTAAGACGCTGAACTGCAGGCTGTGGAAGGTCAGTAGTTCAGCAGTTCGAGACCCGGGTTGCCGCATGACGGAGTGAGCTCCCGTCTCTAGTTCCAGCTCATGCCAACCTAGCAGTTCGAAAGCAAGAAATTGCAAGTAGATAAATAGGTACCACTTGGGTGGGAAGGTAACAGCGTTCCGTGCGTCTTGGTGTTTAGTCATGCCGGCCACATGACCACGGAAACATCTTCGGACAGCGCTGGCTCTTCGGCTTTGAAACGCAGATGAGCACCGCAACCCTAGAGTCGGATTTGACTGGCTTTCAAGCAAGGGAACCTTTAAAAGGTAAAGGTAAAGGTTCCCTTGCTCGAAAGCCAGTCGAATCCGACAAGTTTAGGGTTATTAGGCTTAGGGTTAGGATTGTTAGGGTTCTTAGGGTTTGGGTTAGGATTATTAGGGTTAGGGTTAGGGTTATTACCTTTAGGGTTAGGGTTACTTGGGTTAGTGTTAGGTTTATTAGGGTTAGGTCTGTTTCATGTCTTTTGACCACCCCCACTTTGTCTTCTAACTCATTCTAATAATGGGAGGTCTGTAGCTGGCATGTACCTGTTTTCCTTTCCTTCACCACCCCCTACCACTCCCCATTCCATTCCCTCCACTAGCCTCACTGTTCCCTATTCCATTCCCTCGACAACACCCCAAACCCCAAGCAATGGCTGGGAACAGGCACTATGGGGACAGAGGTGGGTAAGTTAGTGGATTAGTGGGTTAGTAGGGGTGGGTCAGTGGGGGTGGAGGGGAAAGGGAAGTGGGGATGGTGGGGCGGGGAAAGGAAGGGAAGAGGGGATGGTGAAGGTAAAGTAGGAAAGGAAAAAGAGTAGGAAGAGTGGTGGGAGAAAGGAAACAGCAAACAGTGGGGATGCTGGAAGTAATGGGGGATGCTGGAAGACACAGTAGACGTAACTGGTTAGAAGACACAGTGGAGGCAGGGCTATTTTGGGGGCGGAACGCACTGGAACAGCGTTCCTGCTGCCTTCCAATCCCTCCCCTCCCCTCCCCCGCCCTCGGTGAAAGAAGAAGCAGCAACAAGCACGCAGAGTACATGCATGTCCTGTTGCCACCGGCCGCTCCTCTGCTGTGCCTCCCAGCCAAAAGGACATCTGTTCTTTGGGGCCTTGACACCCCTGCTGGTGCCCTCCACTACCCGGCCTGTAGCTGCCAATGCCTGACGGTGCTGGTGACGGTGGGCATGCTGCCGCCGGAGTGGAGCTTCGCAGCCTGTGGTGAGTGATGACTTTCCCCTCGTCATTCTTCTTCCACTAGGCTCAGGGGCACCTTAGCTGGCGAGGCAAGCAGCAGCTAAGTCCCCCACACACTGGATGTGTCAACTAGGGAGTAAGCTCACTTCTTCAGCCTCTAGGTGCTTCCTTGGGGGGGGGGGTGGCAGGCGCAGGCTTCCCCCAAGGAAGAGACGCTGCAGGGTGGGTTTTTATTGAGGCAAGCAGCAGCGGCTAAGTCCCCCCCACACTGGATGTGTTGACTCAGGAGTAAGCCCTCTACCCACGCTCAGAGTTTTAAAATCCTTGCTTGTTCCCAAAAGATTTTTTAAAATTTTTCATTATTCTTTTTATTATTCATTTATTAGGAGCCTTTCATCCTTATGGAACGCAAGGCAGCTTATGGTATAAATAATAATTGTTCTTTTATTATTTATTTATTTATTTATTTAATAGACTTTTACCCCGCCCTCCCGCCCAAGCGGCTCTTTAAAATGGTTTACTTAGCACACTTTCTTATGGACCTCAGGGTGGCTTACAAATAAATTATTTAAAACACTTTCTTATGGACCTCAGGGTTGCTTACAAATAAATTATTTAAAACATCTTGTAAGCAGCCTTTCTTATGGAGGGCAAGGTGGTTTATAATAGAATGAATATCGTTTAAAATATCTATTAGCAGATTTTCAAATGGAGCTCAAGGTGGTTTAGAGAATAAGTAATTATTTAAGACATCTGTAAAGAAATAAATGTAGAACTTTTTGTAGTAGCCTTTCTTATAGAGCTGAAGGTGGCTTGCAGTATAAATTATTTAAAACATCTGCCTAATGATAAAGAAATAAACTTTAAAAATTTCTTAGCCTTTCTTATAGAGCTGAAGGTGGCTTAACAGTATAAATAATTATTTAAAATGTCTTGTTAGCAGCCTTTCTTATGGAGGGCAAGGTGGCTTATGTTATAATAATGATTATTTAAAACATTAGCAGCCTTTTTTATGGAGCTCAGGTTGGCTTACAGTATAAATAATTATTTAAAACATCTGCCATAAGATAAATATGTTTAAAACATTTCTTAAGAGCCTTCCTTATAGAGCTGAAGGGGGCTTCCAGTATAAATAAAAGAGAGTGCATAAAACCATTTTTTTAAAAATCACTATTTAGGACTGCTTTAATTAAACGCAGCCCTAAATAAAATCTCCTAAAACTGCCTCCCAAAGGCTGGAGGTGAGGGGGTTAGGTACACGTCTCTGGGGAGGTGATTCTTCCAGGCTGCACCCTCCAGTGTGGTTAGCTAAGCCCTGCTTGTTTGCAGGAAGGAATGTGGATTTTGGTTTTTTAAAAAAAGTATTGTGTTTTGATGGGATGTGGTGGTGGAGCCTATGGGAGCAAGCGTGAACAGTTTGCTTCTCAAGAAGGGCATCCTAGTTATGATTAAAGCAGCATGTTTCCAAAAGGAGAAGGGTGCAGAGAACCTCAGTTTTAAAGCAACAGCCCTGTGAACAGTCAAGGCTTGGAGTATTCCCAAGTGCAGCCTGTAACCCCACGGGGACTGCTGGAAGAAAGAAGTGTTGTGTTGTGCGTTAACAGCTGTAGGTTTGGATATTCATGCTGATGGGAGGTGGGATAAAAGGGTTGTAGAGGAGCTATGGGTTGTTGCCTTTGAGGATAGAACAAGGTGGGCAAGCTGTGTTGGTCTGAAGCAACTGAACAGAGTCCAGTGTTTGGGAAGGAATCCTTGCACACTGCCTCATGGAATTGGCCCTGGTCTCCCTGGAAGGAGGAAGGGCTGGGATGTGCCAGTGATCCCTCTAGGACTCTGGCGGGGTAGCTGGCCACTCCCCCAAGTCTGCGGGGGGGCAAGGAAAGTGCCAGGGCATTTTGCATGCCTAGGGCTGCCAAGTGGGGGCGGATGGCGGGTAAACCCCTGCTTCGGAGGCCCGATTCCCGCCGCCGCGGAATCGGGCCCCGGGGGGAACTCCGCCCCCCGAAGTGCAGCGTGGCTGCGTCACCAGAGGTAACGCAACCACGTCAATCACGTTGGGGGCGTGGCCCCGATCGTTGGAGGGAAAACTCTATGGTTTCCCCTCCAATGATCGGGGCCACGCCTTCAACGTGATCAACGTCATACGTCACTTCCGGTGACGTGCTGGCGGCGCACACACGCACATGTAGACCGACGGCTCCCCCGCCGGTAAGACAAATTCACTTGGCAACCCTATGCATGCCAAATGTGTGCCCTTTGTTTTGGAGCTGTGGTGCCTGCTTTACCATCAGTTCAGGGCCAAGCTGAGTGTGGCATCAGGAAATCATGATAAGAGAGATCAGCATGCTTTTCATGTGTATCTTGCGGCCGTTGGGGCCACAGTACTCAAGAGACGAGCAGAGGTGGTTAGCCATTCCCTGCCTCTGCACAGCAGCCCCTGCCTTCCATGGGGGTCTCCTGTCTAAGGACTGGCCCTGCTTAGCTTCCAAACTCTGACAAGGTTGGGGTAGTCTGAGCTATTAGGGCTACAATTTGGCAGCAGAAACTAAATTGGTCCATTCCCAAAATGATAGCTGTATAATGCCCAAACGTTACAGAATAGCAGTCTTTCCTGTTCCCAGGCCCGTAGCTAACAAGGGGCCCAAGGGGCCCGGCCCCCCTGCATGGTTTGTGGGCCCCCTCCCCGATCCGCTGCTGTTCCACAGGACACCTTCACTTAGAATGAGATCAAAAGTGTCCTTGTAAACGTAATCAAATTAAGTGCTGTTGGATACAACAGGTTCTAAAATGTGTGAAGCACAACTGGGACAGAAACATAGAGTTGGAAGGGACCTCTAGGGTCATCTAGTCCAACTCCCTGCACAATGCAGGAAATTCACAAATACCTCCCCCACACACACCTAGTGACCCCTGCTCCATG